CGCTATAATTTCAACAAAAATTCATCCACAAACAAAAACCAGAAACGTTTTAAAACAGCAGTTGTTTGTTTTTTCCATTTGCCCGAAACTGAGTGATTCATCCGTTCATTCATTTTCCTCCTGATTCCAGCCACTTTCTCCAAAAATATACGACGGAGATTTTTCTGTCATGGCTATAGTATGCTACAGTAATCTACAAGGTACAGTAATCTAGCTAACCTTTTTGTTTTGTCTTCTATCGTCTCCTTGCCTTTTCCTAGAAGTCGTGACATGAATGCTGTGGATGAGGTGCGTTTATCAGATTTGGACAACGATGGAATCTAAAATGTACAAATAGAGCTATACACAGTTGAACTTGGTTTATTTTTATTAGAATCTCAGATTTTTATTTGATTTTCAAATCTCTTATTAACATTTAAAGACAACATTCAAAAAAAGTATATATACATTGCTATAAAAATGACAAGCATCAATTTACAAAAAAGGCTTTGAGTAACTTTGTACTAACCGTAGACATTTTCTTATAGCAAGGAAGTTGTTTTAGAAGGAATGGCTAGGAAGTGTATGAGGTCGCGTAATCACCTAATGCACTACTCTAGGGTGGGTGAGTGAGTTTTCCAGCTCACATCAAGTCATTTACGGCAGCAACGATCGTAAAGGAGATCGGCGGTAAGCTTTATGTAAGCGCAGGCGTTACGCTACACGCGGTACACCTGTGCGGATTCTCACATATGGGAATTACGTGGACGGGTTGTAAAATGCGCTGGAGTAGGCCATATAGAAAAACACCCACCACACCTGGTTTGGGCTACGCGGATTTGCGGTTGCGTTTACAGTTCTGTATTTTACTAAGATTCCGATTTTACAACTTTTTAACTAAACATTCGACGAGCGCTTACATACACATTTTTGATTTCTTGGTCAATTAACACAAGCAAGTAGTACAAAAAAAGCAAAAAGTCAGATTCGACACCGAAATTGACTAAATGATGTTTTATGATTGGGAAACA